TCCCTGCTATCCGAAATGGAATGCATTGCCATGTAATCTTAATTACCATGGGTGTGTTTGGTACACTTTTACGCTATGTTTGGTACGAGGTTTTCGGAGGGGAGGGGAAGGAAGTTGCTCCCCTCCCCTTGTTTGGCTGGTATAATTTTTTAGAAGGGGAGGGGAGGAGTCCCCTCCCCTTGTTTGGTTAAGATGTTTTTTAAAGAGGGGAGGGGTTCTTCTCCCCTCCTCTTCCCTTCTAGCCTCCCCTCCAAAAGTGGGGTTTTTTGGAGGGGAGGTGAGAGATGATATTTTAATTCCTTATATGCCCTTTCGATTTGTTAACCTCTAATCAGTCATAAACATTTTTACATAAGAGAATTCTTTTGAGTATCTAATAAGAGGTTATTAAGATAATTATCTCCAAAATTAGCGAGCATTTGTAAACTTTTTTTCTCTTCTTCTAATTCTAAGAGGCCGTTGGTATTTTCTTTCACCTTCAAGGTCTTTTCTCTGATTGAAATCTATCACTTGTGATTTTTTGTCTTGATATTCTATAAGTGTGTGACTGTATCTTGTAAATCAAAATTAGTGAATTATATTATATATATAGTTATATCTTAACAAAATAAAAAGTGAGAAAATTCATTTAAATTTTATGAGGCTAAAATAGTCAATTTTTTATTAGAACAAAATAAAGTATTATTAAAATTGCTCCCTCCCCTCCCCTCCAATCAATCCAAACAGGAGATCATTAAAATCCCCCCTCCCTTCCCCCTCCCTCCCCTCCCCTTTATAGCTACCCTCCCCTTTCCTCCCCTCCCCTTCCCTCCGTCGAGCCAAACATAGCGTTAAGAGGAAAAAAAAGCATAGAATTATTTATTTCAAATAAAAAATGGAAACACCAAAATATCTCTGGCAGTTACCAGAAAATCATCCTTTCCAGTATTTTCAAACAGAGAAAACTTTGCTTTTATCTTTTTACTTCAACAGAGCATTCGCATTTTGGTCACTGCATTAACAATAGACATCACACTCAGCAGTTTTCTCCAAAGCGCAAATATCTCACCTTTATCACAAATCAGCAATTGGTCGAACTAGTAAGTGGATTCGTTCGCCGTAAAGATGAGAACAAGTGTTCGGGAAGCGCTCTCGTTGGAAGAGGGGACAACCCCACCTATGTGGGCGACACTCCTACCCCTTGAGTCCGGATTAGTTGGTTACCAATAGGTGCCGGATTACCAGGCAGTGTTTAACCAAAAAAAAAAAATACATCTCACCTTTATCTTTCGTGAACTCTGTGTTACCTTCACTTGTAACAGATGATCTATTTTCAGGACCAATGTTCAGTGATTACTTCCTTTTTTTTTCCTTTTTGGTATAAGCATTATCTTTTTGTATATTAGTGAAATGCAGCCTATCCTTTTCAATTTAAGTTCTGGTTCTACGTGTGTTCCTGACTCTCCATCTCCTATTTAAAATTATTTTAAGATATTAGGTGTTACTAAATAATACTTCAAAATGCTGGATGTCATTTCAAAAAAATCAATACCCCTCATTTTACACCCAAAACGTTGTAAGAGAGGGGAGTTGAGAAGAGCCTCTTTCTCTAAACACAAGTCCTAGTTTTTAGACTTGTTTAGCAAATTTTTGACTCAAACCATGGTTTGGATCCAAAAACCATAGTTTCAGGTATTTGCCAAACCGGCCCAATTGTGTGTGCATTTTCTACTTTAATTTCTCTCTGCTTTTTTAGTTATTTCATAGGACTTCTCTCTCACTGTCACCCGCAATCGGTATCAGTGGAAACATTAACAGGAACTTTTCAGGTTGACTTCGGTATATACTTTTAAAATATATTTTGATTCTAAATATAAGACTTATTTTATAATGTAAATTACATTATAAAATGAGTCATATATTTAAAACTGGACGAGTATCATCATTTAATAGTTTTTTATTTTTACTTCAATTAATTACATGTATCATATCTTTTATTTTTTGTAATAAATAGAGGTAGTTTAAGAAAAATTTATGAATTAAGGCAAAAAAAAGAGAGAAAAATTTATGAATTTAAAAAATAAAATAGAATAAAATTTTATATTTAAGATCAAAACAAATATTCCAACTAACTAGGATAGAAAAAAGTACAATAATATGTATTTTACCCAACCAAGTTTTTTGGTAAAGGCTAAAAAAGGTTGAAAAATGGAAATCAAACAATCCTTGCTGTTAGCTCGTTTGACTAAAGAGGAGAGCAAACGAGAGCTAATAATAATTAAAAATGTAGAAGCTTGCACATCATTGGCTAAATGCCTCTAATAATTAATTAAAAAATTATTTTTATGTTTTATGAATTAAAATTATTCTCACGCAATGCAAAATGTTTTAAAACAAGGGAATTGGAACAACCATTAGACTCGTTTTGCGGACAGGTCATTTAGAAGCGATTTTCTTTTAACTTCTGTTGACTCAATTAATTTCAGCAAGGAATGAAGGCTAAGGTACACAATTAAAACTAAAGTTATGGGTTATCTATTTTCAAGTGTTGCTTGCTTTTGTATCTTTGGAAAAAAAGAGAGGTTATTTTAGTTTGTTTAATACAAATGAAACGCATGCTCATTCTAACATGTCAACAACAAATTTGAGTTTAAAAACTCATTCCAGCATAATGAATGACAACCAACGAATTATGGAGAAATTCTTGTATACTCCTTGTGCCACCTCATATAAACTCTGACCAATCAAAATGCAACACCTCACCAAATTTTTATCTTAGCTGTCACTCCCTATTTTTGATATTTCCAGTTTCTACCTTAACATTTTCACAAATTTCTACCTTAACATTTTCACAAATCCTCTTTCCACCCTCCTCCCTCTTTTTCTCTCCCCGAGCAAAATCTTTAGGGTCTGTTTGGCTCAATGAGAGGAAGGAGGAGAGGAGAGGGATTTTAATAGAGGGAAGGAAAGGAGAAAAGAATGAAAGGATTTTAATATTACATTGTTTGGATTTATAAAAAGAGAAGGGATGGGAAGAGTTTTAATATTATCTTATTTGATTCATGAGGAAAGGAGAGAGAAAAATATTTTGACATGGATAATTTCACCCTTATTTTATTTAAGATATAGGCATAATGGTCATCACATGACAAAATATGAGTATAATAGTTATAACATGACAAAATATTACTCTTTCTTTCCAAATCTTCCCAATTTTGGAAGGGAGGTTGAGGAGGGGATAGTAGTGAAACTTTTTTAAAATTTTTCCTTCCCTCCTAAAATTTGTGTGCTGCCAAGCAAGGAAAAGTAATTAAAATCCTTTCCTTTCCCTCCCTTCCACTCCATCCCTCCCTTTCCCCCCAAATCTCTTGTACCAAACACACCTTAGTCTCTTTCTTGCCCTCCTCCGAAAATTCTCCTTTCATTCTTGCATTCTTTTATATTTTCACTTCGACAAATCTTGCATAATTTTATCTGGGATATGTTGAATCAGTGTTAATGTGCAAATTTTCGAATTGCTTCTAATTTCTAAGAGCAACACTATCCTCCCAAAAAACCATAGAAGCATATTAAATTGATGGCTCTGAAATAAAATCTGACAGCAAGAAGACTCCATGTTCAACTAAAAGTTCAAGCTGAGTCCACTGTAACCCCGCTCATGACGCAATTCATGAAGCAGAGAGCACCGATAACCACAACGACCATCCAATATTATATACACTACAAAACTCGCAAAAAAATCACAACCCAAGCTTGTGAATACGCAAGTGGTTGTTTTGTATGTTTCTCAATCATGCGAAACACAGCAAAGGCTGTGAAAGAATATCAAGCACAGCAAGCCAAACACTGCTAAGGATAGTCACGTTTGGCCTAGGACAACACCACCCGCAATTCCACTGTGTGCAGCTCTAAAGAGCGAAATCTTCAGAACCCACTCCCTCCTCACCAAGAGTGTGCTCGGAGCTTGAATTAAATTTCATTGGAAACCCAGTAAAGCTGGATCGATACGGGCACACAACAAACAAAAAATGGTAATTTTTCAAAAAAAAGAAATGCACTTGGGAATCATAAGCAGTGATAAAAATGAGGGATTCGATTAAATACCAAAAATCGATTGAAAAGCCAAATCTTTTGGGTTCTAGAAAATAGGCTTGGTAGGCGTGAAAGATTCGACTAAAGGGAAATAGATTTTGCCTAGAGAAGAGGGAAGAATGAGATTGAAGCTGCTGTCTGTGTCTACAAGAAAAAAGAGAGAAAGACAGAGAGAGACAGAGGGAGGTGGGGAAGGAAAGCGAATTTGTAAAAATATAAAGGTAAAAACGGGAAACAGCCCCCAAAAAAAAAAAAATTTAGAGGACGCGGCTGGGATTAAAATTTGATGAGGAGTTGCTTTTTGATTGGCCAAAGTTGGTATGAGGTGGCATAGTGGGAGTACACAAGAATTTCTCCGTGTTTATTACTCACACCACACCCTTCTCCACGCGCAATTGACCACGACCGCCTTTCTTTGAAATTTTAAATTTGAGAATCGGGCCATGTGAAACTGCTCAGAAGTCACACATACGGAAGCTGTATTATAATAAATCTTTAAAATTTAGTTTTGCTTAACCCTGGGGAGTACCATTTTGTTGTGGTTCCAATCGCGGCGTTTGGGGAGGTATCCTAGCTCCTGAATGCCTAGATAAACACCTGAGGGTAATTGACGGTTCGTCCTGCCCAACATTGGTATGATCTAGGAGGAAGGAGATTTCGCCCTGCCCTTAGATCGTGGGTGAGCCTAACCTCTTTCCAAAAATTTTGTTACCAAAAAAAATTTAGTTTTGCTTTTATTTATAATTTATTTAGATTATTTATTATTCACTTTGTCCCATCTTTCATTGACTTTGTTGATTCATTCTATTCCCCTAAAATCTTATCCATCTTCCTCTTAGGCCGGTTTGTTTCCTGTTGCCAATCATTCTTAGATCTGAATTGAAAGCAGTCCCAATTCTTTTTTGCATATCGTAGCCAAGCAATCTGATATGGCTTCATCTTCTTCCTCTGCTCCATCTTCTCAATCTCCAAAGAAATATGACGTTTTTATTAATTTCAGAGGTGAGGACACCCGCTTCAACTTCACAGGCCACTTTCATGAAGCTCTTTGCAGAAACCAAATAGATACATACATCGACTATAGACTTGAGAAAGGAGATGAGGTGTGGCCATCTCTTGAGAAAGCCATTGAAGATTCAACTCTGTTCATAGTGATATTCTCAAAAAACTATGCATCTTCCACGTGGTGCCTGAAGGAGCTTGCAAAAATATTAGAGTGCTCCAAAAATCAAGGTTGCTTTGTTATGCCGGTGTTCCACAGAGTGGATCCTTCACATGTGAGGAAGCAGTCTAGGAGTTACCAAAAAGCATTCGAAGAACATGAGCGCAAAAGAAGCATTAACAATCAACAACTGCAAAAGTGGAGGGAGGCTCTTACTCAAGCTGCCAATTTGTCTGGTTGGCATTGTAGCTTCAATAGGTAACTACATATTTATGATCTTCCTCTTATCATTTTCTTCCATGCCTGGGGCTAAATTAAATCAATCTTTGAGGCATTTAATGGAAGTTACGCTGATGATCATAAAGAGAATAGCTTCTCTTGTACACTATGCTTATCCAGTCCACCGGGTCCATCAACTTTACTGTTATGATATTTTAATCTAAATCCCTGTCTCACTATAGTCATAACGATGCATTCGTAGCCATAACAACATGAAGCTGGAATTTTATATGTATCTAGTTATGTCATCTAATATAAGTAATATTTCTTAAAAAAAAATAGCATAACAAATTTTAAAATTTGGCAAATCTTCATAGTTACATGTCATTAGGAATAGTTCAAAATTTGAAATGAATAGATAATATGGGTATTAACTTTGATGCCTCTTTATTTTTTCAATGGTGTGTAGGGATGAAGCGGAGCTAATTAAAGAAATAGTGAATTGTGTCACGCAAAAGTTGGGCCCTAGGTATCGAAGGGAAGATTATCTAGAAGGCTTGATTGGAATTCACAAAAGAATGGCCGCTATAGAATCATTGTTGGGCAAAGTTTCAAATAATAGTGGTTGCCAATTCATTGGAATTTGGGGCATGGGCGGTTTGGGCAAAACAACTCTTGCAAAAGCATTGTTTAACAAGTTGCATTTTACATATGAAGGGTCTTGCTTTTTGGCTAATGTAAGGGAAGAATCAAAGAAAAATGGGACAGATGCTTTGAGGGAAAAAATTGTTTGGAAGTTATTAGGGGATAAAGAATCTCACTTTGGCAATGCCATATATCCTTATACCATGAGTAGGCTTGGTCGGAAAAAAGTTTTCATTGTGCTTGATGATGTTGAACAATTAGAAAATTTAGTTGGAAGACGTCAGTTTGGATCAGGCAGCAAAGTCTTAATAACAACCAGAGATAAGCAAGTGCTTGGTAAGGAAGTGGATGATATATATGTGCTTTATTGTTTGGATCCTGATGAAGCTTTTCAACTTTTCTCCTTGAATGCTTTCAAAAAAGGCTACAGTGATCCAAAGATAAGAGGGCTAGTAGAAAAGGTGACTGAATATGCAAGTGGAAATCCATTGGCCCTAAAGGTTTTAGGCTCCTTCTTGCACAGCAAAAAGCAAGAAGCATGGAAAAGCCAATTGGAAAAGCTTCAAAAATTTCCTTGTCCAAAAGTCAATGATATCCTCAGATTGAGCTTTGAAGGACTTGATGATGAGGAAGAGAAAAATATTTTCTTGCATATTGCATGTTTTTTCAATTATGATTATGATGTTGAGAGTGTTAAAAAATTGTTAGATGCATGCAGTTATTCAATCGAAATTGGATTGGCGAGACTTGAAGATAAGGCTCTTTTAGATATTGATAGAGGAAAAATATGTATGCACAGTCTGATAAAACAAATGGGTAAACAAATTGTTCGTGAAGAATCATTAAATTATCCAACATGGTGCAACATATTTTGGATTTTCAAGAAAAGTGTTGAAATATTGAAGAAAAATATGGTAAGTGTGAAATTTATACATTTATTTATTAAAGAGATTGTCGACTTCCAAATTCCTATTTGATTTATATGACTTTTTTATTACTATTATTATTTTTTGTTTGGTAGGGAAGTATTGAAGGCATGATTATGAACCTTTTAGAAGTTGAAGAGACGCGAGTAATTATTAAAGCATTTCGTTCAATGCCCAATCTAAAGTTTCTCAGGGTTTATGGAAATTTAAATGTTCAGCTTATGAACAAGTTAAATGCTTCTGGTATGATGTTTTTGTCAAGAAACCTCATGCTATTGGATTGGGTAGGATGCCCTTTAAAGACCTTGCCGACAACATTCAAGGGTGAAAATCTTGTTGAAATAAACATGCCCAACAGCAAATTGACAAAACTTTGGGATGGAGAGCAGGTAAATTTTATATTTTTTCTTTGAAAATATTATTAATGCACTAGTTGAAAATTTTTATTATGTGCCTTTTCTGTACTCTTAATTATTTGTGAGCTTTTATCTGTGGGTCTTTAAAACCTCTTAAAAAATTCAATGAAAGACTGACAGCACCCATTCTAAAAAATGCGTTTGTGTTTCACCATCACACCAATATTTATAAAGATTACTGATTTAGTGTAATTTTAGAAAGTTGTAAAACCTTTCGACATTAACAAGTAATTTTTTTTAGTAAAACTATTGAAAAAGGATAAGAGAACGTAATTATTTTCGTTTTTGCCACCAATCTTACCATGGAATTTACATATATATATATATTTTGCAGAATCTTGTGAATTTAAGCAAAATCAATCTTTGTGGATCAAAAGACTTGGTGGAGCTCCCAAATTTTTCCAAGGCCGTACGTCTTGCACGAGTTGATCTCAGATATTGTATAAAATTGCAAAATGTTCATCCATCTATTTTATCTCTCCAGAGCCTTTGTGATTTAGTGCTAAGAGGTTGCAAAAACCTTACCAGCCTGACGAGCAACACCCATCTCAAATCACTGAGGAACCTGGACATGACAGGGTGCTCAGGACTATGCGAATTTTCGGTTACCACAAATGAAAAATATCGGTCTGTATTGAAGCTCTGTGGAGCAGCCATCAATGGTGAGTTGTGCTCATCAAGTGGACATCTCAGCAAAATTTATCTTTTGAATCTAGAAAAATGCAAAGGTGTGACAAGTCTTCACAAATTGGTTGACGCGCGCACCCTTCGGCGCCTTAATGCTGAATATTGTAATAAGCTAGCATCAAATCTACGTTCCACATTTGATGAGATGCGTGCTTTGCAATATCTAGAGCTAACTGATTGTAGTGAATTATATGAAGTGCCTGACAACATCAGCTTCTTGTCGTCATTAGGTCAGTTAGATCTCTCGAGGAGTAATATAGAGACTTTACCTTTAAGCATAAAAAATCTTTCAAGACTGGAGGTTCTTTTCTTAAATGGATGCGAAAGGCTTCGGTCTCTACCACAACTCCCTCCCTCTATCCGTAGACTGAGCACCAACGACTGCCTGTCCCTTGAGACTTTACATTCACCTTTAATGAGTAGAGATAAAGAGGGAAAACATTATTTTTACTTCAGTTTCAGAAATTGCATGAAGTTGGATGGGCTGTCAATCAAAGCTGTTGAGGCCACGGTGCTACTTTCCATAAATAATAACAAAGACATTGATTACAGGGCTGCAATGGAATATCCGGGAGAAAGAGTTGCAGAGTGGGTCATGTATAGGACTACGCAGTCTTTGGTGACTGTGGATCTCAGTTCCATTCCACAACCTTGGGATGGCGCTTTCATTTTCTGCGCCGTCATTCCTAGATCGTTGTCGAAGTGGACAAATATTAATGCCAAATTGTTTATTGATGGTCAATATGCTTGGGAGTCTAGAAGCGCACCTGTCTATGGGCCCCTGTTGGTAAATCATGTTGTTCTTTGGTACGATGCAGAGTTACGTAGACAAGTACAAAGGAAAATTGAAGACAAGAAAAGACAAGCTCAAAGCAACACTTATCATCCATTGATTCGAATTGAATTCATGTGGGAGGGTGAAGATTTAGGAGAGAGAAAAGAGTGGGGGGTGTGGCCGACATCTACAGTTGAATATCAAAATTACATCAAAAAAATTCAATTGGCATCATTGCATCCACATCGTAGCTCTAATGCGACGCAATCGGCCTCTCAAAAGCGCAAATATCACAGCCTACTTCGATGAATTTCATGAAATGGTTTTTGAGTTTTACAGCTCTCTAGTTCAATTCATATGCTGCCTCAACTTCGTATATTACTCTCGTGCCTCCACCTCAAAATGGTATGCTCTGGTTTTAACAACTGGTGATAGACTTGCTTCTTCTTTTTTTTTTTTTTAATCATTTGTGCGTTCTTATTACCGCATAATTATGTTGTACCTTTGGCATGTGTATAATTAATTTAGCATTTTTGAAGAATTGGATTTAACTAATGGACATTAAGCTGACTATTTCTTACTTCTAATATTTAAGAATCACAGGAAATTATGACTAAGCAGATTGAGAAAGAAAAAGATTTATGGACATTGAGGATTGGAAGCCATTGCAAATATAAAGATCAAGTTCATCTACATACGCAAGTGAAAGCATCCGAAGATTATGAGAAGAAGAGGAAACAACGGGTTCGATTTTTGAACAGTAATATCCTCTCATCTTTTCTTTTTCAGTCCTCATCACTGATGGCTGCATTTCCATTTCATTTACATATTCATAAGGCTACATCCATTAAAGTCGTAAACTCATAATTAGTAGCCTAAAAAGTTTGATCTGGTCCAAGTCATCCGATCATCTTGCTTTGTGAAAAAAAAGTTTTACAACAGTTTTGAAAATATTTGTTAATCTGCAAAGTTGCATTCAATTAGAAATACCCTAAAATCTTAGCGTCTGTGCCATATGAAAAAATTAGTATGCTGCATGTGATCCAAATTAAATGACTAAAATTCTGAAAGAGAAAGAAATTAAAAAGCAACAATGAAACACCAAGATTCTTCTTCACTACGGGAAATTAGCATCCAAAATTTATAAGGGAATTAAGACAAACGAACAAATAAAAACGTTGGTAACAATTTCGACTGCACTGCGGCTGTCATGGATAATGTTATTGAAATTAATTATTCTGTTGTAACAGAGAAAAAGATACATTAAAATATAGTAAGATACTGTATAGATATTTAGATGTAATTGTGTAAAAATAATAATAATAATAATAATTAAAAAAAGAAGAAGAAGAAGAACCGCAAAATATAAAAAAAAAATTTTAACCCATAAATATATGAACATCCTTTAAAAAAAAAGAATGTTGGTATAAATAACCTTTACTTTATTATATTTATATATATATATATATATAATACATGCCTTTGATGTCTAGTACTATGAAGCATCGAGTCATATTTGATTATTATTGAACTCGTTCGGGATAAATAAACTTTATTTTATATATATATATATAAAGATAGTTTAATTTAAGCTATTTACATCAATCAATCAATCAATCAACTAACTATATTCTTAAAAGTTTGTAATACCCGATTCGCTTATTATAATATTTGAATATATTTAATTAATGAGATTTGAATAATGCTTTGGTTAGAATTTATGTATATTAAATTAAATGAGAATATCATTATTAAATAGAATTTCAATTAGAAATTCAAATGAAGAAACTAATAATTAATTTTGAATTTGAATAATATCTTAATTGAGATTTGAATATATTAAATTGAATAGAGAGTATCATAATTAAATAGTAACTCAATCAGAGGCCTAAATAGATAAATAAATAAATAATTTTAAATTTTCATATATTTTTCCTAACTTATGCATATCTAATTTAAATTTCATTTGAGTGAATAAAAAACTCATATTCCTATAAGTGAACATTGATTAGAATTTAAAGTCTCATCAAATATTCTAGTCTGTGCATAGCAATAAGGAGAAATTTCTAGTTCTACCCATATAGTAGGTGACGTCCCACCCTCAAAACATGAGCCTGCCTCAGGCAATTAGATTGAGGTTAATATTTGATAGCTGGGATTTAATACTAGTCTATTTTTATATATTTTTTGAAATGTTTTATTCTACGACATGCAAAACCTAAAATTTTAAGTATAAATAATTTTTAAACGTTATTTTTTCTAAAAAATAAAAATTTATTATTAAAAATCTATGATAAAAATTTTAAATCAAATCCAGACGTCTTCAACAAATCTCCCATTCTCCACTCCACTTGCTTCAGAGCCACCCAAAAAAAGGGCATCTTAGTGGCCTTTCAATTGTGATTCGTTTTTTATTAGGTCCATTTGGTAGCAGAGAAATTCCCATGTGCACTACGAACATCACATCATTTGTGATCTTCTCAATTAAACGAAACCAACTCAGAATACATCACATCATTTATACTCTTTCCTACTAGAATACGCCAAGTCACATCATTTTTATGCCCCTTAAAAGCATTTACATCTTACGTGGTATTTTTTAAAATTACAAAACATAATGAGATATGCAGTGGGTCCCACCATTCCTTTCTTTTATACCACTCTTTCCTGGGTTCGGATTCTCTCAGCGGCTGGTTTCTCCGCCTCTCTCAGAAGCCTTGAATCCTACCCGTCCAATCCATCCAACCACCCATAAGGAGACACGTCATAAGGCTTTTAAAATTGTATCTAAATCATCGTCTGGTTATATCCTGACCATCCATTCAATTTCATGTCCCACCAAATCCCTATCAACTTCGCGAATGCACTCTGCAGTCAAAGTTTCAGCCCATCTGCGATGCAAATGAGGAGCTCCGTCATCACCCATGGTCCAGCATCTGCATTACAGATTACACCTCTTTCTTATCTTCACCGTTCTGCTTTATCATTCTCTTCCTCATTATTTGACTGCTGGATGCTTACTTCACTTAATCGATTTTTTTCCCCATTCTTGGTGCTTCTTCGTCGACTACCGACTTTCATCCGTTCTCAAAATTGGTTCTCTGACTCTAATTTTCACTTTGCTTAATTGTGACCTATATCAATAAGCCTTTACGGATTCAAATCAATCAATACAGAGGCTTTCTTATTCTCCACCACTGTCCCCCCGTTTTCTTCATTGTTTATTCTTTCTTTGTTCATCAGCTACCGCGGCTTTCTCGCTGCATCGGTCGAATTTTAATGTGACGACAATTTATGCTAGAACTGTAACGCATTATATATAGGAGCTGGACAATAAAATGTTGTATTCCTTCTCGCTTGCACAGTCGAGAAGCAAATATCTTGTTATGAGCTGTTAAACAAAAAAGAAAGGGAACTTCTTTACTGCTATTAACAACTTAGGAATACTAAAACTACAATGAAGCCTTTATTTTTTTTTCCATCTCCCATTCTCCCTTGGAAAAGCATCGACTGATGTGTATATCGCTTGTTGGCTTTGTCGTCTTCATATTTCTTACGGTCTTGAGTTTCTATCATGCCAGCAAGAGATGGCTCAATCACTTGTAAGGATTAGTTTGGGTCTTCATATTGCATTTTTATATGATATGAAGATGAACCAGATTGCCTTGCGTGAAGCTTTCTCGCCAAGCTCAGCTAGCAGAATGTTGAAGGTTTATTGTTCTAAAGGCATAAAATATATTCGAGTTGCGACTTTTAATACTTTTTGACGTGTCTCCCTGTGAGTGCTCCGATGGATTGGATGGCTAGGATGTTGAGATTCTGAGGGATGAGGAGAAAATAGCTTCTGAGAAGATCTGCTTCCCTCTTCACCCCCCTGCCCCACTCTCTCTCCCTTCACCGTTTCCACTTTACATGAAAAGCAGCTTTCATCAATGTAGCAAGGACAATCTCAGAAGAGAGATTAACGTAAGTTATAAGGATCTCGATTTCATCATTGGTGAGATGCTAGTGATGGTGAATCCAAACGAAAGGTTTGGATCTGACAGATATTCTCCTTCGACTTCAAGCTCCGCATCTCATTACCTGTAGATTCGGCACATCAATCTCCCTCTTTGAAGAGGTATTTGTAGATCTCTTCACTATTTTTCTCAAGAATGATCGTGGTTGTCGTAACTGTGGCGGCAGCGACAGTGGCGACACACAGTTGACGTGTGTGTGGAGTTGATACGCTAGATTTAACACAAATAAGGAACTTGATTCTCAGAAACTATGAAACACCCACAAACGAATGCTTGAAGCCTCTGCTATTTTTGTACTGATTTATTGTTTGCAATGATTGAACTACGACTTTAATAGCCTCTCATTCCATTATTAGTAGCTGAAACTGTGATTAGGTTTTGATGGGGAAGGAAGAGAGAGATAATATGGGGGAGGAGAAAGGGGGCAGTGGGATTGTGGAGGGTTGGAACCGACTAGCCCAAGAGGGCGGGAGACAATCAGATGGTGGAACCCACAACATGATTTTGTTGTGTTTTGATTTAGTGTTTTATAATTTTAGAAAATGCCAGCTAAGAAGGTGGGATTAAACTGACTGTGACTTAGGGTGTGTTTGGATGAAACCAAACCGTGGTTTGAAGAATAGCTTCTGGAGAATAGATTTTATGAAAAAGTAATTCTGAAAAGTAAGAGTGTTTGGATAGTTATTACAAGAAGTACTTTTTACATGTGAAAATTACCAAAAAAAGTCTAAGTTAATATCATAATTATATAAGGGATAGATTTTATGATATATTTTGATTTGAAGAAATAAAATTGTTAATGAAATCATTTTTACTAACATAATTAATAATATATAAGATAATATAATTAATACACAATTAATATGTGTATATATATTTATAAAACATAATATTAAATATGTTTATAGAAAAATGAATTTTTTTGGCTAACAGAAAAATATTAATTTCCTTTAAAGATTTTAAACATGAAATCCTATAACATTTTTTCACGACTACTTTTTGTAATAACATACTACATGTATAATAACCTCTGATATTTAATATAATTAATTAATTAATTGTCACCACATGTATATATATTCATAAAATATAAGAGTAAAAATATTTTTAGAGAAGATGAATTATTTTGTTGCAAACACAAAATCATGTATTTTTCATGAAAATTATAAACATGAAATGAGATGATATTGTTTGATAAAATAGAATAAACATGTCTTAAAACAATTTATTAATTATTAAAGTAAGTAATAATTGGCGTGAGAATATAAGGTATAATATTAATAAAAGAAA